TTATATGATTTGTTCCTCATAAAAGACTGTTAACTAAACTTGCTTGTTTTTCCGTTCGCATAGCATCCACATCTACACTGCTGACTTTGATCTAACCCTTTAGAAAGTTTCACTGTAGAAGTGATACTAACTACCTTTTAGAAAGAGATCAGTTGTTCAGATTGTCTATTTAACTTCTCGTATGTATCAACTTTAACTGATATTATTCTGATATTGTTTTGCTTATATATATATATATATATATATATCCGTAGATACGGAAAGTGAACCAGAAAACTAGCGTCGTACATATACGCAAATAGATTCTAAACAGCGAGAGATTCTGAATAGTGAATTTTGAAATGTTCCCTTAGCTTTGACAAGGTGTTGTGAAAAAACATTCTTGAACAAGCACTTGGGCAAGAATTTATTTGAACAGTTAATCCACTGTTCAAGTCCTGCCAAAGAAATGTCGCGAAACTTGATCAAAATAGTAAGTAGTTGCATTATGTTCTCATCAGCTGATGACGGACTCTTCTGCAAGCACTAAAGCAAACTCTTATGAAGAAAAGAAGCACGTGCAACAAAAAACTTTGCTAGGGTTTGGAAATAAATTTCCAGCTTTGAGTCGATTAGGGTATAATATAAGGCATTCAAATGATGAAATTGAAATGATGTACGAAGTGAAGAAACTACTACTAGAGAATACATGTTCCATGATCATCTGTGCTGAATGATTGGAGCAGATTTTCGACTTTATGAAAAAAATTTAAAGCTGAATTTAAGAATTTTTAGGAAATTCTCAATCGACGTTTTTTAAATACTTCATTGTGCTTCTTCTCTATATCATTCGAATACAATTTTATGTATGTTCTCATTGACCTACACAACAATTACTTTGTTCTGAATCCTGTTGAGTGAGTACTATTTTTTTTCAAAAATAAGGGTATTAATGTAAATTCAAAGTATCTTCTACAAAAGCGAAAGTTCAGAAGCGAGGATTTGAACTTTCATAGGAAACCTTAGAGGATAGAGAATTTCATATTCAGCATCTTGTAAGATAAACATCCTTTCACGCAACATTTCACATGACGTTCTGTAGGCGCCCTATAGCTTGCAGTCATAGAATAATGTCTGACATAAAATCCAATAATTTTTCATCATCTAGTACCGTACTTACATTGTATATATGAACCATTCATATTAGTTCCTAGGTACATGCAACTGCGGTGATATATCTCTAAAGTCGTGTACTAGTGCTTGTGATGATGAAGAGAATGAATGTAGTTAGCACCCGAGTACATGCTAGATACAAAATCTGAGTTAGTCACGATAAATGCTGACTTAGATTCGTTACGTAAGCACCATAATCTGAATAATCGTTACCTCAGGTTATGAATGCCAACACCAACATCGATCTTTCGATCCATAAGCGTCGTTTCGTGCATGGAGTAGCCAGTCGTATACAAGTCACTAAGTTTGCATCTTTATTCTTTTTCTCACTGCCGAGCTGATTATGAGCTTCGTGCGAAATTTCTTAGACTGGATTTATAAAAAGATCAGGTCCGCCCGGTTCTAAACCAGATATTGGTTCGGAAAGTCTAAGTTGGAAGATGCGAATTGTTTCAACATTACGCATATTTTGCGCGTATTTCTGATTATGAACCGTTGTCAACCAGATTTTCTGATTCCTTTTTACTTTCTATCCAACTGCTTGAAGAAGCATCTCAGGGACATGATACTCTTTTGTTTAGATCTGCCGTCGGTGGTTAGTGGTAGCTCAATCGGTTTTCTTGATCCTCATGGATCTTATTTTTCTACATCATTACATCCAACAAGAGGAAGACGTATTGAATTCTTGAAAAATCGCGATGCAATAATAAAATCTTTGGATCAATTTAAACCGTACATAAATAAAGTAGCAGGTTTAGATTTTACAAGATCATTCCCTGGTACATTATTTCGATTTCCCTTTCGAAATGCAGATGCTTGTAAAACAACAAAACTTTTCACCCAGACACCAGGGCCTATTTCTGAGGAAGATATTCAAAACCTGGTGAAAGGTTTTCTCGATGATCTCAAATATAATATCCTGTTTCTTCGGAACATACGTTTGATCGAGTTGTATGAAATCGGCCCAAAACTACGAGATCATAAAAGATTAGCGTGTATTTCTGTTGAACGATCAACTGATATTGAGTCTCGCAGCTTAATGCAAAGTAAAATTATTCAAAGATGTGGTTTAATTGACGAGAAAATGTTCA